TTGTAGTTACTACTGCAGTGATGAAACACCATGACTAAAAGCTATGTGGGAAGGAAAGGGTTTATTTCACTCACAGTTCTATATAATAGTTTATCACCAAAAGCAGTGATGTCAGAAACCTGGAGGCAGGAGCTGATGCAGAGGCCATGGATGTCTGCTCACTGGCTTGTTTCTTATGGCGTGCCCAGCCTGCTTTCTTACAGAAGCTGGGACCACCAGCCCAGGGATGGCACCAACCACATGGGCTGGGACCTCTTCCATTAATTGCTAGTTAAGAAAATGCCCTGCAGGTTTTTGTTAGCTCCATCTTAGGGAGACATTTTTTCCTTTCCTTTCCTTTCCTTTCCTTTCCTTTCCTTTCCTTTCCTTTCCTTTCCTTTCCTTTCCTTTCCTTTCCTTTCCTTTCCTTTCCTTCCCTCCCCTTCCCTTCCCTTCCCTTCCCTTCCCTTCCCTCCCCTCCCCTTCCCTTCCCTTCCCTTCCCTTCCCTTCCCTTCCCTTCCCTTCCCTCCCTTCCCTTCCCTTCCTTCCCTTCCCTTCCCTTCCCTTCCTTCCCTTCCCTTCCCTTCCCTTCCCTTCCCTTCCCTTCCCTTCCCTTCCCTTCCTCCCTCCCTCCCTCCTTCCCTCCCTCCTTCCCTTTCTTCCTTCTTTCCTACAGCACCCAGGTGTTGGCCAATGGCACATTCCATTTGCAGGAACGAGATTAGAGACAGGCCCCGGACTACATTGGCCCAAACAGCCAGTGAGCTCTGTGCTGAACTACTGAGAATAAAAGCCTCTTTCTCTGCTTGAAAGAGAATGGAAAGTAGGTGAATCTGATCTCAGAGTTTGCCTGAGAACAAAGCCAGGGGTGTGTAGGGAGGGGAGGGGGTGCTTGGGGTGGAGGGTAGGATTAGCACCTGTAGCCAGTGAATCCATCTGTGCCTCAAACCTTTAGGAATTCTGTGTGAATAAATTTCATTTGGGGTTTTCTGTTATCAAGCAGAAAGGATACATACTGCTATGCTCCTGCCTCTCTCTGAGGCCTGGGCATTACGATCAAAGCCTGGTGCCCAGCAGAATACATAGAAGGGGTCCTAGAACACTGATCACTGGGCCTCTTACATCCACTGTTGCTGGAGGAGATCCCCAAGTCGTTTGGTGGAGACAGGGCCTGAGCTGCCGACACTGAAAGCAGGCACTCCACATGTGCGATTCAGCTAGCCGTTGCCCAGCTTGGCATGTCTTCTCACATCTTGCCTCATCCCTTTCCCTCCTGACCTGTGTTCCTGTCTGGGTGTGTTGCCAACAATATGATGCAAGTTGTCAAATTCTTCACACTCTAGGGAACTTTTATGGGCATTCAGGCACATACTTCTTAAGGAGAGCAGGGCAGGTGCAGTTTCTGACTCCCTGCCAGGCTGGAAAGTCTGTCTCTGCCAGGGACGTGGGGAGCTCTTGAAGGGACTTTCCAATCTGACTTTCCCTGTCTCCCGAGGCTAGCTCCTCATAATTGTTTCCCCTTGACTTGTGCTCCTGTCTTTCCTCACCCTCCTCCTAATGCAGTTTTACATCTACATTTTGGCTCCAAACAGGCTCCCTTGACCCTCCAGCACCCCCGTAGGGGAATGTCCTTCTGTATATATATTTCTTTTATTGGTTGATAAATAAAACACTGATTGGTCAGTAGCCAGGCAGGAGGTATAGGCAGGGCTACCCAGACAAGGAGAATTCTGGGGAAGAGGAAGTCAGAGAGGAGCCACCAGGGAGATGCCATGTAGCTGCCAATGGAGTAACATGCTGGAGCATTCTCTGGTAAGCCAAAACCACAAGGAGATACACAGATTAATAGAAATGGGTTAATAATTAAGCGAGAGCAAGTCAATAAGAAGCCTGAGCCATTGGCCAAATAGTTTATAATTAATATAAGTCTCTTGTGTATTTATTTGGGGCTAAATGGCAGCGGGACCAGGCAGGAAAGAAACTATCTACAACCCCTCTCCCCATTTAAAACAGTGCATGTTTCATTAGTTGCAAATCAACATGACATTACAGAACCTGGACATTGCTGAGATCTCATTAGACCCCTGTGTCACATAGTTGAAGGAGATGTTCTGAAAGTCGTATAGTTGGGTGACTGTCTTGAGAACTTAGTTATACAATTAGATGGTTTAGGTCAGCCACTCCCTGTCACATCTTGATGTTTCCAGGGAGTGTGAGAACAAGATACACGAAGCTGTTTGTTGGTGTAGCACAACATTTACTGATTTGCAGTCAACTTTTTCATATAAGGAGTACACTTTAAAATAATGATTTAAAAAGTGTAGCCTAGTGAATGCACACCAGTAATATAGTCATTTATTATAAAATACTGTGGACTATGCACCTTGTTCCTCTGAGGCAAGGCCTCTTGCTGAAGGCAAAGCTTGAGTTTTTTGGCTAGGTTGGAAGCCAGCAAGCCCCGGTGATCCTCTTGCCTTTGCCTTCTGCAGTTCTAGAGGAACGGGTGCCCAGAATACCATGCCTGGCTGTTACATGAGTGCTGGGATCCAGCTGGCCCTGGTGCCTGTACAGCAAGTACTTAACTGCTGAGCCACCTCTCCTGTCCCATGCTATACTTTATATGATGGGCAGCAAAGTGAGTTTGATTATCCTGCAGTCACCACAGATAAGCAAGCAATACACCGTGACAGGCAGCCAAGAAAGCTATAATATCACTAGATGATAGGAAGTGTTTATCTTCTTTATAATCTATGGTGTCATTAGCTGCAATGTTTCTATGCAGTGCATGGCTGTATTGTGAAATAGGATTGTTTCCTCCAATGTAATCCAGGATGTCTTGGTGTGTGTTGGTCAGCACTAGGGAAAAGGTGGAAGCTGGTATTCAATAAACCTCTAGAGCAGCGGTTCTCAACCTGTGTTCTCGACCCCTTCACAGGATCACATATCAGATACTTACATTACGGTTTATAGCAGAAGAAAGTTAAAGTTGTGAAGTAGCAATGGAATAATCTTGTGGTTGGAGGTCGCCACAGCATGAGGAACTGCAGCATGAGGGCTGCAGCAGTAGGAAGGTTGAGAACCACTCTGCTATACAGGATGTCTATCCTGCCTTGTATATTGGCAAGGTCTAAAGACACTGAAGCGTCTCCTATAACATGAAAATAAAAGACCCAGAGACTGATACTGGGGTTTAGGCTTCAAGCTGAAGATCGGAGAAGCAAAGCAGCCAAGCCAGTAGATCTTTCCTCCATCCAGCTGAAATGGCTATCCTGTCTCAATGAATCCTCAGAGGCAAAAACTCTGAATTCCTCTCTCTTTCTCCTCATATTCCTGTCTCCACCCAGCCATATCCTTGTCTCCACATCCCTAGTGTTGGGATTAAAGGCCTGTGATTCCAGTGCTGAGATCACCTTTGTGTGAGCTGTTTCTTTTAGGCCTGGATCAACTTTGTGTAGTCAGTGTGACCTTGAACTAACAGAGATCGGTCTACCTCTTAATCTTGAGTCTTGGGATTAAAGGTGTATATCATACTGCCTGATCTCTATAGCTTGAGGCTGGCTTTGCTTTCTGAATCCTCAGGCAAGCTTTAATAAATTATAAATAGTGTATCACCACTGACTTGTGCTTACAAGACTGAGTGACCAGCTTCTGGGTTAGGCCATGAAGCACAGGCTGAAAAAATTCCTGCTCATGCAATGAGGGATTTCTGTCTGACAAGTCGAGTCCCATTAACCTGCTCAATTTCTAGACCGGTGTGATAACTCACACCAAAGCTACATCCTCAGTCTACAGTTGAGGAACATCCTAGGCAGCCATTTAACTTTCAGACACCTGCGTGGTAGAGATCTGGTAGACCAAACAATAACATCAATATTGATGCTCAGAAAATAAATTAAATATGTGTATGGGAAGAAAGCATCTATTTAAGTTATCATGGTGCATGCCTATAATCTAAACACTTGGGGAAAGGATTGCAAATTTGGGGGTCAGCTTGTAAGATGCGACAAATTTGAGGGTAGCCTGAGCTACATAATAACACTTTAAAAAATGCTTGAAAAAGAAAGATTATGCTATGAAACAAAGCAACTTTGAACAGACTGTGTAAGAGGCACAGACAGAAGAGAATAAAATTTCAGGGGAAGACTTTTCCAAGGACTTAAAAAAAAATAAGAAAAGAGCAGTGACTAATCAAAATAACAAAGAATCCCAGAGAAGGTCATGGAGGAAAGAATGTTACAGCCCAGAAAAAGATCCATATGTGGAGAATCTCTGAGGTGTACCTAAGAAAATGAAAAGAAAATAAGTGGAGCTTAAGGTAGAAAGCAAGGCGTATGGGGCCAGGGGGTGAGTGGGGTGTGATGGGGATAAATAGGACTCGGAGTCAGGTCATGTCTGGCCTTGGAGAGTTTGGATGTAATCGATGTGACAAATGAAGCCACTGAAATCAAAGAACCACAGGAAACATTTGAAATACTAAGGTCATTGTCACTTCTAGGAGTATGGATGGACAGTGGTTTGCTGAAGCCATTCAGAGGATATGGCTTAGTAAGGCCCTTCTGGGGAAGAGTGCAATGCTGTGCTCCACTCACCTACTCACCGGGAGGTTGATTCAGTTGAACTTACTACTAGAGTCCATTGCAATTGGCATTTTCTTTGAGCTGCCAACCAGCTCCCAAATAAAGACACAGAGACTTAATGTTAATTATGAATTCTTGGCCTTAGCTTACGCTTGTCCCACTAGCTCTTTTAACTTAATTTAAACTGTTTCTACTCATCTATGTTTAACTTGGGGCTTTTTACCTTTCTTTCATTCTGTATGTCCTACTTTCCTGCTCCTTCTGTGTCTGGACAGCTGGCCCCTGGCTTCTCTCTGTCATCTCTTTCTCTTTCTCCCCTTTTGTGAGCCGAGGTTCCTCCTCCTACTTACTCTCCCTGCCCAGAAGTCCAGCCTATACCTCCTCTCTCACTGCTGGCCATTCAACTTCTTATTAGACCAATTAGGAGCCTTAGACAGGCAAGGTAAAACAGCAACACATATTTACATAATTATACAAATATTCCATAACATAAACAAATGCAACACATTTTTGCATAATTAAACAGATATCCCACAACAGTCCATGTGATGGGTGAGAAACAGAGACGGCAAGTAGGACTCACATTTCTTCCCTGAGAGGCTGGTCCTTGGTGGTGCCATTAAGTGCATGAGAGGGAGATGGTATTTTTTTATGTTAGCATGAGTGAAAATCTGTTCACTTGGGAATTAAGTTTCGGACATTTATAAGAAAGTCATATGGGGACATCCAATGGAAAGCTGGAGTGGAAATCCAGCCCTGAGGAAGGGTGACATTTAAAGTGATAGAATCAGAGCTGGAGAGATGACTCAATGGTTAAAACAATTGCCTTGTAAACTACAGGGCCAAATTTCAGCTCTCCAGAGCCATGTAAATCCAGTAATTCCAGCCTGAGAGAGTGGTGGCAGGAGAGTTCAGACCAAGCTGGCTAACAAGGCTAGCTGTGTGCAGGAAAGCTCTGAGTTTGATGGAGAGACGCCACCTCACGGAATGAGGTTGAGAGAAGGATCCCTGACACCAACCTGAGGCTTCTGTGTGTGCGCACATGTATACATGCTCCTGTACGAGACTATACATATACTCACACCACACACATGAAAAAGGAAAATAATAAAGTCATGGAATGAATGGTGTTTTTAGGAAGGCGTGAGAGGGAACGCAAAGATGGGAGGCCTTCACCCCAGCCCTTCCCCTCAAACCGTCCCCTTACTTCCTAGCCCTTCCTTTAAGCCTCATGTGAAAAAGAAACTTCTATGCTTCTCTTTCACACAGGAGCCTGTGGCCTTCGGCAGATGAGTCAGCTCTGTCTCATTCCTATTAGCAATCTGAGTTCCAGCAGGTGTGGTGATGCTCCCCTTTAATCCCAGCATTTAGGGCGCAGATCCAGGTGGGTCGCTGTGTGTTTGAGGCCAGCCCGGTCTATAGGGTGAGTTCCAGGACAACCAGAGCTATACAGTGAGAGCCTGTCTCAAAAACCAAAAACGAAAACAAAACAAAACAGAAAACAAAAAAGTCAAACCCAGACAAACCCAAACCAAAATATAAAACCAAACAAACAAACAAACAAACAAAAAACCAAAAAAACTAAGAAACAAAGTAGGCCGGGTTCCTACCTCTCCATCTTCTTCCTGGTGACCTTTCCTTCCCCCACCTAAGGTCACCAAATTATCTGGAAGATAAAAAGAAAGAATAAACTTCAAACAAGTATCTAAACTAACACACCAATAGTGTGAACACTCAGAAAGGCTACCCTTCTGGCCATATCTTGGGGATTAACTGTCTTTCCGACTAGTAGGCTTTGTGATGACTCATTCGTCTGTCTGCTCTGTTTAAGTCTTGCTAGTTAGCATGTGGCAGTCTGTGGAAGGCAGAAACAAGACAGATGCCTGGGTCTGCGTCAGCTACAATGACTACTAGACAAGTGAGCGCTCGTTGAAAATGGGGTGTTAGGGCAAAGTGCACCTTAAAACACCAAGTGTCTTTTGGTGGAGTGCCCGAGCCTCAACGATTGTATCTGCCTTTCTTTACGTTTATGTCTCTAAGAATATTTCCTGGTCCTGGGACACGCCTCCTCTTACCTTCTCCCACCCGTAGCCCCCAGCCTAAGCCAGGAGCTAATTCCTGCTACAGAGAAAAGTGAACAGGAAATGTCTTCATTATGGCTGTAGGTTACCCACAACACTGAGGTTTCTTTGTAGTGCCCCGGGTCTCTACTTAGGTTTCACTTGCCCCGCCCCGTTCCGTCTAGTGCAACGTGAGGCCCCTTTTCTAGCTCTTTCCCCAGTGCCTAAGTTCTTTTTGTTTGTCGTCTGCCTGTGACTTTCCCTACCATGGCATGCTTTGTTGCTTGAGAGGTGGTGTGATCCACAGCTTTGCCCCTATGCTGGAGTGGTTTGAGCATCCAACCTTCTGGCTTCCTGGGAGAGAGCAGACCCCCAGTGAAATACAAACCCACAGCATCCAGTGTGTGCTCTCCCTGCCCCGGGTTCCTCTTTGTGCTGGGCTCCGCCCCCACAGCTCCTCTCTGGACTTGTGATGTGTTTCTGCGAATACTGCTTCTTGTGGTACCATTGCTTTCCGTGCTCAGTTGACGTCATTATACTTCCTTATTTATGTATTTTTATATTTTTTGTGACATTTTGGCTTAGTCTCTTGGGTGTATATGGTTCAGTGATACTTCCTCTCTCTAAAACATTAGATATTATAATGTTACTTGTTTTGAACAAAGAAACATCAACAGAAGTGACATTGTTGCCTCCGAGAAACATTGTATGCATTGTTATACTTCTTTCTTTTTTTCAAGGTTACTGACATTCACCAGAAATCCAGTACAAGTCACATATGAAATCTAAAACATTTCAGTAGTTATACTTTAAAAAAAGGCAAAATTAATTTTAAGAGTATAGTTCATTTAACCTAGTTAATTAAAAAAGAAGTAGTCAAGGTTAATACATCTTACCCTTTTGTGTTAAGTATGAGATTTAATGTGTATTTCACAATTATTTCTCTAGCCACATACATTTCTAGATGAACCACATTTCAGTCTCAATGGGTGTGTATGGCTAAAGACTACAGTTGTATTTGGTATCCATTGACAATTAATTCCAGAAGGGCCAGCAAATAAAATTTGCAGATGTTCAAGTGGTTCAAATAACTGTGTCATAGTGTTTGCATATAACATATGCCAAACTGCCCTCCTGTATATTTAATCATCTCCAAATGACTTAATAATACTTAACACAATTAAATTTAGGGTAAGTAGTTTTTATACTACATGCTACATTAAAATGATTTCTTTTGAGACAAGACCTTAATTTGTAGCAAAGACTGACCCCACCTTTAGAATGCCCACCTCCGTCTCTTGAGCACTGGGAGTATAGGCATGTGTCACTGTGTCCACATCTTTTGTCATACTTTGCTTGTTTTGGCTTTAAAAACATTTTTAAGCCAGGTGTGGTGATACATGCCTTTAATCCAAGCATTTGGGAGACAGAAGCAGGCAGATCTCTGAGTTCAAGGTCAATCTGATCTATATAGTGAGTTCCAGGACAACCAAGGATATGCAGAGACTCCATCTTTAAAATAAAAACTGAGATGGGGTGTAAAGAGAAACTTTTTCCTTGAGAGAAGCCTTCCCGCCAGCCTGGTTCTAGAGCCGCATCAGTCCCAAATAAACACACAGGAGGCTATATTCATTATGAAGCTGTTGGCCTTGCTTGTTTCTTACTGGCTAGCTCAGACTTAAGTAATTACCCCATAATTGTTAATCTAAGTATTTCTCTTACCGGAGAATAGTTCCGGGCTTCCTACCCCATGGCGGTTACATGTTGACTCTCTGTGTTTCTCTTTCCCAGATTTCTCCTGGATTCCTAGTCCCACCTATCTAGATTCCTATTGGCCAGCAGTGGTTTATTGACAAATGCACAGGACTTCCCCCCAACAATGGGGATTTGCTTGCTCTGTAATACAACCTGGTCTGGAACTCACTGTATATTCTAGGTTGGCCTCAAACTCATGATCCCTCTTCCTTTGCCTTCCAAGTGCTGGGGATTACAGGCATACACATGTAGTGGTATATTATTTATGATTTGTTAAAGCTTGCCTGAGGATTCAGAAAGCAAAGCTAGCCACAAGACATGGAAACCAGGCATACACCTTTAATCCCAGCAGCAAGAAGCTAGGAGGTAGTGGTGCACACTTCTAGTCCTAGGACTCAGGATAAGAGTTGGATGGATCTCTATAAATTCAAGGCCACCCAGATCTACACAGGATTGATCCAGTCTTAAAGAAAAACAGCTCACACAAAGATGATCTCAGTGTGTGGGGTCACATGCCTTTAATCCCATCATTAGGGAGGTATATAAGACAGGAGCAAGGCCTCACTATCGGGCATACACTCTCCAGACACACTGAGAATAGGAACACCACAGCCCTGGTAGAGGAAAGAGCTCTCTGGTAGCTTGGCTGCTTTACTTCCCTGATCTTCAGGTTGAACCCCAATATCTGTCTCTAGGTTTTTTATTTTTTTTGTGTGTGTTACACACCATAACTAACCTATATTACCTTTAATGTTGGGTGAATATTTTTGTTTGCTTGCTTGTTTTAATAATTTTGACTTGTAGTTGGTTGAATTGTAACTACACCAGCCCCAGTAGTGTGAGACTCAGAGTCAGGTAACAACAGACAGAATCCACCAGGCTTGCCAGAAACACCACACAGACCACCATTGGCTGTATAGGTGAGTGTGAGTTTGCCCTTCCTTGCTGTCATTCACTGACTTTGGAGTTAACTTTGCAGCAGTATTATTTAGCTAATAGAGAAATATTAATGGAAATTTAACACTGGTATAAGAGTAAGCCGAAATATGTGGTATAAGTTGAACATCCATCTTGAAATCTGAAAACTAAAAGCCTAGTTTGAATACTTCAGAGTTCAGACTTTTACATTAAAGATCATTAGCAAGTGAAACATACACAAGTATTCCATGATCCGAAACCAAAGAAATGAACAACGAGCACCTCTAAAATCTGAAATAACTCATCCAGAGTACTTTGGACAAACTGTACTGTCTCAAAGATGAAGCAACAGTTAACAAAGACATTTTTAGCATTGGGGAGGTTAATAATGAGCTTTAGGCAGTGACAAACATTTGGTAAGTTACTTAGCTTTCTTTAGGAAAAATTACAAGGGGTTTGTGTTGATCTGAATGAAAATAGCCCCGATAGACTCATAGGGAGTGGCATTATTGGAGGTGTGTGTTAGCATCCAGGAATACCTGGCCCCACCCCTTGGGGATCTAGCAGAGTGTGTCACCCCTGCACACATGGCAGGTAGTACCTGGCCTGATGTGTGGTCCCTTTAAAAGGCAGAACTCCACCTACTCCTTCCTCTTCCTCCCTCCCCCATTCCTTGCTCCCCCCACCTCTCTCAATTACCTCTCCAGCATCACATCTGCCCTGCATGCAGCCATGCTTCCCATCATAATGATAAAGAACTGAATCTAAACTGCAGCACTGCCATGGTCATGGTATCTCTTCATAGCAATGTAAACTCTAAGATAGTATCCAAAGCATTTGTAGTTTCAGAAACAGAACTGGATGGCAGAGTATTTAGTAACAAGTGTTGGCTGTTGTTGTCTGCATTATTGCAGTATTACAAGAAGAAAATCAGCTCCGAAGATAATTGCCTTTTAAAAAGTAAAATAAAAGGCAATAGAGCTTGTCTGACTGTATTGGGACTCATGGCAGAGACTTTTTTAATGTCTTACTAAGCCCCAAATGAGGAAGATGAAACCATGATTTCTCTGGTCAGCATCTTTGAATTCTTCCAAATTCCTTCAGCAAGCCAGTTCAAATATATTTGAAATAGCAACTAAGAGGAGGAAGGATTTATTTTAGTAACAGCCACAGAACTTTCAGTCACTTGACTAGAGAGGGGCCTTTTGTGAGGCAAGACATCATGGCAGTCTGGAATGTGTGGTGGAGAAGCTTCTTCTCTCATGGTGTCCAGGAAGTGGATTGGTAAACCTAGGCCAATGCTCAAAGTCATGCCCCCAGCGATCTGCTTTCTCCAGGTAGGCCACGCCTCCCAAGTTTCTGCAACCTCCCCGGAAGGAGCTACCTCTTGGAGACCGGAAGGTCAAAACATGAGCCTGTGGGCATTTTGTTTTGAAACCATAACAACCACCAGTTCTTCCTTTCTGTGTCATTTGGTTGATTCCGTAAAAATATCTTAGATGATGCCTTTATCAAGAGCCATAAACACTCTGTAATCTCACTTCCAAGGAACTTAAACTGATTTTTTTTTCTAGACTCCAAACAACCCTTTGACAAGACGATCGCCAACTGGAGGTTCATATATTACAAGTTGAATTGTATCACGTGGGTGATTTATATCCTCAAGAGTTTATGACTTAGACAATTCTAAAGAGATCTAATCGCTCACCCACAGCTCTCTTTCCTTCTATGGGTATCTCTACCATCTCTCAGCCGCCCTTGAGGTTTCTCTTCATATCTTCACATTATCTCTCCACTAAAATCTGGGAAAGTGTGACAGCTATGGAAGTCGTGCAGAATTCTGCAGCCTCCTAGGAAAGGCATTGTAAAGGCTCTCTACTCAGGAGCAGAGAGGTCACTTTTCATAACCTAGCCCATCATCCTCCTTGAACACATCTTTAATAACCTGGACCATCTCCTCCTTGAATATATCTGAAGCATTAGGAACTGTGTGTTCTACAGGGCCTCATCCCTGACTCATCAAAAAGACCTGATAGTTTTTCTAAGTCTAGAGATCATATGCTATTTGTGTGTGTATTGCCAAATACTCAAACTTGGTTTGCTTAGCTCAAGATCCGGGTCTTAGCAGGTCTGGTCTCTCCTAAGGGGGCTCTGCTTTACCTGCAGTTGCGTACTTTCTCTTTTGTTCTTTATAATCTCTCTTGTGAACATGAACCTCCCTGCTAGTTATGTGCTCTAATTTCCTCTTATGAGCACTGCTACTTTCTCATGTTGAGAGCTTTATAGATGATCGCTATTTCTGCCTCTTTTCATCTTTTTTTAAAAATTTAATCTTTTTTGGGGGGGAATTTCTATTATTTACATTACTCCCTCCCTCTTTCTCCTTTCTTCCCTGTCCTTCTCTTCCCATGCTCTCCCAACTCCCTCTCAAATGGTGGTCTATTTTTAATTATTATTGTATTACACACACACACTCATATACACATACAATGTAGTGTTTATCTAGCATTGTTTGTATGTATATGTTTTAAATTTTATTTTTATTATTTCTAGTTACATGTAGGTGTTTATTTACACATGGCTATATTTACCTAGATAGTCAACCAAGGAGGGTAGACAAATCCTTCTACTATTATGGTCCAGCTTCAACAGTTCAAAAAAAATTTTTTTAGAAAATAAAAAAGGAGGAATAATGTCCCCAGTCCCCATATGACTCATCAAATAATACACTCCTCATTTAAAA